CCGGCAGGGTTTGAGAGGTTGCTCGTGCTGTGAACACATCTCTACTGCCTGTCTCGTCCTGGAAGTGCCGTCTCGCCGCTTCCTTGCTCTACAGTCACGCCGTTATTTCGCTTCGTTTCGTGGTGCAGCTCAAAACCTGCCCAAACAACTGTGAGCTCGCAACATGGTATGGACAAATTGCACCACTCATGCTGGTTAACTAAAACCGGGATAGTCGAGTAAGCGAGTTCACTCCCTGGGCCATGGCAAGATCTGTTCAGCGCGGGCTATTCCAACCTCCAAGTGCATAGTCACCGATCGATCCATGCGATGGTGGTTGACCTACAAAGAGCCAAGGTCTACGAGTGCTACTATTGGATGCTGTCTACATGCAGTCAACAAAATCAAAGTACCTCAGTATGCCCCAGAATAGGGAATGTGCATCTATAGCATGACACAACAGGGGTTCTGGCGGCACCTGTCAAACAAGCAGTAGCGACTAGTGCCAGCTACCTATTGGAGGCTAGCCGCAACAGTCTGTCACTGGAGATAATTATTATGTTCACTGTTTAGACTGAGCACAATCAATGATGCCCAATCAATCTGCCCAATGTGTGTTCTGTTCCACCTAATTATAACGTCCCATCGCATCAACCCTACTACACGCAATGTCGTCACTCTAGCATGACTTGTGTTATTATTGTTTATTTTGATTCGCACGATAAATAGAGCACAATAAACGTTAACTTGACCGAAGGATAAAGGCGACTGCAGATAGAGGAACACATCGAGGTACAGGTACCGGCATCAATACAGTATCAGAGAGAAACAAACAAAAATGAGAGGTACGCAGAAAAAACTCTCGTAAGCCCAAGGGGAAGTGGTTGATGAGGGATGAATGCACTCTCCACGCTCATCTACACTGTTCGTGGAAATGCACACATACATACAATAATATACAACATAGCAATAGCATGCACAGAACCGAACAATTTCATGTTCACACATGCAAGCACAGACCTGAACATCAGTACCAAAAGCCGATACAGACAATATCCCCATACACACAGACGCACACACACACAATGTCCCATGTATGCGCCCGTGGCGAGAAAAGCACGCAAATCTACAAATGCACTGGATGTGAACCCACAGATTTTCTCTTATAGCAACGATAGCGGATCTGATTCTGAATGAAACACACACACACAATACAATCATTGAATGCCCATCTGCAGATTATGACAGGTCCTGAAAGAACAGGCAGTGTTCCAGTAATGGGGAGCAGAACTTCGAGTGGCGAGTGATGTATACACACACACACTTGCGTGCGCGGGCACACACTAAAGTATTCAGAAATAGAATCGACATTGTAGTATTCATTGGTTGGGGAATGGAAAATAAAATAAAACATTGCTGTAGGTTATTGTTGTAAGGACACTGGGAGCACAACAGAAAGGTAAGCAGCTTGCTTTGAAGCAAAGAAAGTTATTATTCCACGGATCTCAGAAGGAAGGAACGTTCCAGAATGCTGCACTGGCAACAGGCGGCCTGCATGTGCGCGACCCCTGCAGTCGGTCCAGCTGCCGGCCTTGCAGTGCTGAAAAGAATGTGCAGTACAGCATGTCACATAGTATCGCAGCCTGGACAAAAAGGCGCTGGGAAGTCCTAGTTATGTGCTCACCTACACCACGATGCACCAATCTTCTGAGCTACTTTGGCAACAACTTTGTCCACTTGAGACTCCCGTGGGCTGAGCCAGTTGTTGAGGGCTGCACCAAGGTGGACGGCAATGACCGCTGATGGCAAGGCAATCCATGACACACAGTCACTAGGGCATCGTCAACATGGCGCTGAGGCTGGATCGATAAAATCTACCTTTAGGCTGCCGCGGGGTTGACAACGAGGCCGCTGTCTCGAAGCTAGTCAGTCAACCTGGTCACCGCCATTGACGAACCAGTCGCCACCGCCAGCAGTGGCGGTAGGTTGTGACAAGTGTGGTGCAATATTGTCAGCAAATTCAGTACTCAGGATAAGATGAGTGACAAAGGGAACGTTGTGTTTGATAATATTGAAGTGAACAGGGATGGTCACAAACCCTGCGCGTACTCCACCGTGAATTACAAGAAAATTCCGGACTGGACGACAAGCAAACGCCAACCTGCTACATCCAACCAGGCAGATATTATTACGATAGCTGCCAAGCCAGGTCAATGCCGACCTACTGCATAATGTCAATGTCAAACAGATCCTGCAGGAGAAGACTGGGGTGTTGGCGTCCAGTCACTGAGGGTACAGACACCAGTCACATTTCCTGTGTCTTCTGCAGCATACAGGCTGAGACTCATCACTGTAGAGTCCACTACTGCATGAGTTTTATTTGTACAATACATGGCAGGCGCACACGGTGTGCCTCGCAGGACTGCGAGATGCTGCAGAAGTCCAGGTTCGACCTTTCTGGACCGCCATTCACCGACGGTGGGCTACACGATGCTGGAGGACCTAGATTCCAGTGAAAACCCAAGATTCCTTTGCTCCTGGACGCTCCGACGTCTTGTGATATCTGCCAGGTGCTCAGTAACTAGTATTTTCATCGCTACAGCGAGGACGACGCCGATCGGCAAACTCTCGCTCACAGCCAACACCAGCCTCTCAAAACCATCACTTGGCATCCCCCAGAGGTACAAGAGAAAGCCAAAACAGCTCACAACAAACAAAAGCTAAGGACGATGGAAAGAGAGCATGTCAAAAAGAAGACGAACAGTATGAAGTTCAAATGGTTTTGAACACTAGCACTCGTAGTACCATCAACCACTTTCAATAAATCGTGACGCCATTTTGTTTTAACATGAATATCGCGGATTAGTTTGAGTTACCTTTGAAAATAATTAGATTTTAGCAACAAAATTATCCATCGACGTGCTGGTCTTGGCCTGCGTTGGTAATGTTGCCTAAAACACGTGCCAGCAAAGATCGGGGAGCGAATGGGGTGGAGGCAGCGCGTGGGAGACTGAATGAGTTCCGGGTATTCCGTGTTTCGGAGAACCAATTATAAGCCTGCATATGCAAGGGTATTTTATTTAGTAATATTTAATGTATGAGAATACAGAGGTGGTACTTATGTCGAGTGGAAAGAGGACTGATCTTGGCAATTTTGTAAAGGCTAGCGGAGGGAAAGCGACGATCTTTGCTAAATACGATTTTAAGGAGCATGCGGTTATGGGTTTCTAGCTTGTTCAATACAGTAGTAGTTATGCCAGACCAAGCAGTGTCACAGTAGTCAAGTAAGGACAATATAATAGCAACGATAAAACAAGCGTTTGCAAGAAAGAAGAAGATGTCTACAGTGGGCTTGAAGAGCCCCAAGGATGGAGCTTGTGCGCTTGCAGACATGCTGCGCATGGGGTGACCACGACAATTTATAGTCAATAACAACGCTAAGATGCTTATGCTCTTCAACAATACAAATAGCAACACTTGAAGAAGGAAAACAAAGTGGCAGGGAAGGGGAGAATGGGAAATATACATAGCTGCCGTTTTATCAACGTTTGGCTGCAACTTCCAATCATGCATCCAGGTTATAACCTTGCCAATGCTATCTTGCATGGTTTCATGCAGTCGTATAGGGCAAGCATTGGAGCAAAGCAGAGCTGTGTCTTCAGCAAAAAGGCTGACACCACGGACAATATCGGGGAGGTCATTAATATACAGCAGAAATAGCAGTGGCCCAAGGATTGAACCCTGGGGGACTCCAGAAGTAATGGGTAAAGGCTCCGACAACACAGTTGAGAGGCGTACAAGCTGATGTCGGTTAGAGAGATACGATGAGAGCCAGCCGATAGCCTTGCCATCAATGCGATACACTGTTCGCAGCTTAGCTAAGAGACCCCTGTGCCAAACAGTTTCGAAGGCCTTTGCAAGATCGAAGAAAACTAAACCAACATGGTTATGGGCGTTCCGAGCGGTGTGGATGTCTTGCACGAGGCGAGTAACCTGGTACCTGGTGGAGTCACCCCGACAAAAGCCCGACTGTGCTGGCGAAAGTGAAGCGCGAACATGATCATAAATGATGTCATATACAACACGTTCGCACACTTTTGATAAAGTAGAGAGCAATGAGATAGGGCGATAGTTACATGTACTACAATTATCAGTTGTTGAGAAAGAATTTTGAAGAAGACGAGTTTGAGTGTACAATAATGTACTGCAATGATCTCTACCCTGCTTTTCATTGAACACACTATCTGCATGAGCTAAGAACCCTTTACCATGCAGACCACCAGCACTGATCAGGTGCATTGTACATAATTGTGTAGCCTACATACTAGAACTATGGTACAATCATGTAGTTAGCATAACTCATGCTCCTACCTCCGAAAGGATGCCAGATTATGCTCCAAATTTTCAACTACCAAATTATGCCAAAAATTATGCCGGCATAATCCGCCGGCGCCTAGTCTTAGATAGTACTTCGAAGTATAATATTATACGTGACCATGTCATCCAGAAAATTACAGAAAAAAAAATACAAAAATACAGTTGTGAGTTGTTTGTGTTGTATGATTACACCGTAGCTTAGGCGCCGGTCACACATGCAGGCGGCGAGACCGCTTTTGCCGCTGCCTCCAACACGCTGGCAGTGGGCGCTTTTGCGGCTCTTTTCTGCCGGCGGTCACACATGCAAAGACTTTGGTACGCACGCAGCTTCACGGGTCTCCACAGGTGTCGTAAAACTTTTCTCTGAAAAAGACTGTAGCCTCAAAATTCTTCAGGAAGTTACCTGCTTTGTTGCATTTTGACTGAGTTGGCTGTTTCATGTTTCATTCCTATCACTGTTGTCTTTCCTTTCCTGCGCTGGTATGGATCGCAGAAACGCCCAGAATCGCCGACTACGTCGTGACCAGCGACTGCGGAGAGCTATGTAGATTGCCTCAATATTCATGTTGTTCAATTTCTCTTCGTTTGAATCTTGCGGAAGCTCCTTGAGCATCGGTGGACGCCTGAGTCGAGTCCCATGTCGGATGGTTGATGGTACCCAGCCTGTATGGATGCAGATGATGGCACTGTTTGGTTTGCCGCACATGCGTGACCTTCTCTTCGGTAGATACAAGAGAAAACGACGCTTCTGGGCTGCTCTCAGAGATGGCAATGTATGGGATGAAGATTTTTTGAGAAATTATCCCACAATGTCCGTGCAATGGAATGTCCCCGACTTTGAAGATCAACAGTATATGGAGCATGTGCGAATGGGCAAATCAGAGTTCTGGCATCTCCATGAGGAATTTGGCCGGTATATTACATTCCAGGACAGCAAGTGGAGGTTGTGTGTACCGAGCCACAAACGTCTGGCAATAACGCTGCATTGGCTTGCCAACGGCAATAGCTACTCGCAGCTAGCCCGTCAGCATGGCATTGCCAAGTCAACCGCTGTTAAGATAGTCCATGAAACTGTGCGTGCACTGAAGATGCACATGGTGCCGAATTCCATTCGCTTCCCAGAGGGACAAGAGCTGAAGAGAGTGATGGCAGAATTCGAGTCCCTATCATTCCTGGAAAGGTGTGCAGGAGCTGTGGATGGAACATTTGTTAAAATTCGAAAGCCAAAGGCCATGTTTGGTGACTGCTACTATTGTTACAAGAAGTACTGCTCAATTATTTTATTGGGCACTGTAGATGCGTGCGGGATGTTCATCAACGTGAATGCCGGAAGGCCTGGGTCTGCTGGGGATGCCAGTGCGTATGCCACATCAACAATGTTACGCAGGATTTCCCAGCAAAAGTGGCTGACCATACAAGACAACTTTCGAATTGAAGGCACGTACATACGGCCCTACCTTGTGGGAGACTCTAATGACTCTAATGAAGTGCTTTGATGACTCAGCTGGACTTCAGCCACATGAACGGACATTCAACTACCGGCTTATTCGGACAAGGCGTGTAGTGGAGCAGGCGTTTGGGCGACTCAAGGGTTGATTCCGTGTGCTAGTCCACAATAACCTCGACGATCCCGACTTCGCTGCTGATGTGGCCATTGTCTGTTGCGGTCTGCACAACATCTGCGAGAGATGGAAGTGTCCTATGGAACCGACTTGGCTAATTAACACTGCCACGTACAATCAGTTCCACCCAGGACCAAATGACCAACCCCACGATGACTACGAACAAGCAGGTTGGACGGTGAGAAGGAAGCTAGCGCGGCGTACTCACCGAGATCACCCTGTTGTTTGAGCAATACGGTTCTGCTGGCCTCTTATTTCCACACTGAGTACAATCCATTCCATTGATGAATTTATACACCTGCTCTGTGTGAACGAGAAGCACTGAATGCAACTTTATTGTTTTGCCCGTGCAGAAGGCGTATAAGAAAAACCGCAGCGTGCTAAATTGCACCTAAAAAATCGAAGAGAAGAACACGGCTGAAAAAATTGAAGAAAGGATTTATCACAAAACAAGCTCAGTCCTGCTCCTCGTTCCGGGAAGACCTTGGTCCAGGACCATTGAAGAGGTTGCTCACAAGTGTGGCCTGGAATGTCATCATTGACTGCTGGACAGTCATCTGGAATTCCTGATTTTGCCGTTGTGTGGCTGATGACGTTCTCTCCTCACGATCTCTCATCCGCTCTTTAAATTGTTGCTGCTGTTGTTGTAGCTGTGCCTGCGGTCAAAGCACACAAATAACCATCACAAGAGGACTAAGTATTGCTGCTAGACTGCTAGTGATGTTTCATTGGCCCAGTTGTTTGCGAATTCTCACTAATTCCAATTCTGTAAAGTAGATCCCACAATTATGAACGAGTAGCCAATACAAATCTATAATATACTACAGTAGAATTCAAATGTTAAGGAACATGGCCAACAATCTCCTGTCTATTTCAGACCATATTTCCAGAATCTATTTTGGAAAAGGCAGTTTTGGAAACAGTTGCTTACCTGAAGTGTAATGGTTTGTTGTGTATGCGCTTGCATGATGTTGCCAAATGATGCCAAGAACTGGTCCTGTTGCTGGCGCTGTTGCTCTGGTGCTGCCGTCCTACTTCTGCCAACACGACTCGGTGGTGTGGGAGGCAAGGCAGGCCGAGCACGGCCATTGTGCGGCTCCTGTCGAGTTTGAGCTTGCGCCTGTGCTCGTGGCCTTGCTGTTGCCTGCGTCGGTAGAGGCAGTGGGGTAGATGCTGCTGCAGGCAATGCTGCTGATGGTACGATTGGCTGCGCTGAAAATCCTGCTGCAGGCAATGCTGCAGATGGGAGGACAGGCTGTGCTGAAAGTGCTGCAGCACGTGCTGGTGGAAGTCCATCAGAACTATCGGCCTCGCTGTCATCAGCCACGTCATGGTATAAATCATCATCTATGTCACCATCACCAAAAGTTCCACTGTTTCCAGTAGTGTGTGCAGTACTGCTATCACTGCTTGTACTAGCTCTGTTGCTCGTAGCACTGGGGTTGGCTGCCTCTGCTGAAGCTGCCTGTTCAGCATCATCAGCATTGTTGTCATCATCATCATCATCCTCACTGGTGTCTTGGGCACTATCAGTGGAAATAGCCAGTCCCAGAGTGGGATGAGACTTCCACAGATCATAGAAATATTTGAGTAGTGGCCACTTCGCTTCTTTGAGAATCTCTTTTCAGTCCAGCTCATCTTCATCATCATCATCATCAGCAGCTGCCCCGGTTCGCTCTAGCCTGCTTCTGCGCACTCTGGGCTGCACATGAAGTTTAACCTTTTTGGAGCCCGTCTTCTTCAGGCGCCCGATCTTATCCTTGACCTGCTTCCAGGCGACCACCACATCCTCCTCCTTCAGCTTGTCAACAATCCATTTGTACCTCTGTACATCTCTTGTCATTTTTTTCTGGTGTCTTGTCTTGACCTCGAAATAGAGGGAGAGGAGCAGTTGCTCTTGGTCAGCAGTCCACTTCATGACGAGAGATGAAAAACTAATTTTTCCAAGATCCAAGAGATCCAACAACGACAACGCCGCAAAAGTTGCACTACCGCTTTTGTGTTTCGCCACCAATTTTTTGGTTGTGGCGCTTTTGAGATTGCCGCCGTGGCGCCAGTGGCGCCAGGCGCAGTATCCATGGTGATCCGGGGATATCCCAACTTTTGTGGTGCAGCTTTGGTGGTGTCGCAAAAGCGCCATGCATGTGTGACCGGCGCCTTAGTGGTAGAGAATTGCTGGGCATAAGCAAGGATCCCAGACCCTGGTTCGAGTCCAGACTCCGGCGAGTGGTGACAGTCATATTGTTCTGATTTCATTCAGTGTCTACTCCAGAGTCATGCTTAGTGAAGCATTCACCATTGGACAATACCCTTGATACTGCTATGTTGTCCAACTCTGTACATGTATGTGCATGCTGTCCCTAGCCAGGAGAGCGCTGCCTTCGGAGTGGGTGAGGCCCAAGCCAGACAACGCAATTAAATTGTACTGCCTCATCATCATTAAACCACGTCCACATTGGCCTGGTGAGAGCATAAAAGTAAAAAATGTACGGTAGGGATGTGATATTGGGGATGTGCATAATGCACGTACGATAACACTAAACAGTAGATGCGTCATTGGGCAAACAATCAAGGTGGTGAAATGGCAAGCTGAGGAGGTCGGCCAAGAGCCAGGCGTTCTAAGGCATGGCGGAAATCCAAGATATGTGTTCATTTAAAACATCCACTGACACCTCTGGCTCTTTCCATAACAATAGAAATTGTAAAATACTACAAACAGCAGAATACAGAACAGAGGAAATTATTTGAATGTATTCGGAACAATAATCATAGAATTGCCATACTGAACTTCTAAAGTATAGTATTTCTTGGAAACAAGAGCAGCCTCTTGGGAGAAAACTCGGAATGATTTGGAAAGGTTTGGAGAGATTTGGAGAGACTGAGGTGTTTTTTTGTTTAGCTAGGAACTTAGTGCAGCTGTGTGCGCTGGCAGTTACTAGTTTGTTTAAGTGCTGGAACAATGATTGTTTGTTATGTTTGTTTTCTGTTAACAGCCACTGTCCCTAAAAATCGCTTGCGCAGAGTACACCGGACAAATACACACTGACAATCTGAGTCAGTGCTCATCGCTGCGGAGATCAAGTTATCAGATGAACGCTCTCCCACAGCAGTGGTTATGGCGGTTACCAGTACTGCGCTGAATTGCAACACCAACCGTGCTATCGTGCTGCTCATTGCCCTTCTGCCCGCGGTGGTCCTTTCAGCCAGTCTGAATGGTGACTGTTTCTGGTATGATGTGACGCTCCGTATACCAGACCAGCTTGAGCTCAGCCATGACCAGCTTACAGCCCAACTCAATGGCAGTACATGTACCATTGGTAACTGCTCCAAGAACCATCACCAGGGACACAAACTTACAGAGACGTTTCGTCTCCAGCATGACAAACCATGTCTGTTCAACGTCTGTTCTTATTGGCCACAAGCGACACTGACTCACGCTGGTATCAGGTGTTCACGAGGTGTTTTTCGTGCTGGAAACGGAGCGTCTCAGTACGTTTGTACCCCTGGTGAACTGATAGTTTGACACGGAGAGCACTATAAGTGATGCTCCTCCCACACAATCTTCCTCAGCCTACTCAAGCTCCCGAAGGACTGTGTATGGAGCAGGGAGTGGTGCTTTCTTGCAGGTTTGCCGAGGCGAAGGTTCGATGGACTTCCCGTGTGCTCTGGAGTCAGTCAAATATCAAGTCAAGTCCGCGCAAACCGTGAGGTCCGGTGTGGGGAGCAAACACTTTCCCTATGCAATCATTGCCGAAGTCGCTTCCACTATCTGTCATCATAATAACTCTTGAAACCATTGGTTTTTTCCAGATTTTCCCGTTGGTGTCTTTTTTTCTCAAACCAGTGAATATCTTTCCATAATCATAGAAATTGTAAAAAACAGTACTAGAAACAAAAAACAGTCAATTACTTGAATGTTTTCACACCAATGATCATAGATTCACAATACTGAACTTCTAAAGAATATTGTTTTAAAAATAAGAGCAGGTGATAAACACCACACATTAATTGTAAACGAGAACTATCAATATTCTGCAGCATACCTACATGTATAGCCTTTCGGAATAATGGCAATGTCTACACTACAATTCATTCATTGCAACTACATGTACATGTACTACCAACACGTTTTGGTGTCTCCGGCCTACATGATAGCTGTAGGTCTTGTGAAAGCAACAGTCCTGCACACTGCATTCTGTCACCCGGGCAATTATTCTTCCCCACATTTTGAGCAAGAAGATTCCTACAACAGAAAATTAGAAATTTAGCCAGGTTTTACAAAATTAGAACATGTATGCATTGCAAAATGTATGGAGAAGCAAATAGAAAATCCAACCTTTTCACGTTTAAGGTGGGTTTTCGAGCATCAGTTTGGGCAGAATTGGGCATTGAAAACCCAGCGGGACTATTTTGGATGATTGAACTGTAATGAAAACCATGGCCAAACTGTAAAATTAAAAAAAACTCTTCTGTGCCACGACGCTTTTGCTAAGCTGAACTATAACAAAATTAGAGGATCTCTACTTGTCGGTAACGTTTCCAGATAGACACACAAAAATAGAAATGTTTCCCCTGGACTTCGATTTCAGTGATCACCTTATGTTCGCCTGTACGCTGCACATGTAACTGAAGAGTACCCGCATCGCAGTCGAAGGTGAAAGTGAGAATGTCACCACCCTGCCATGCCGCTGTACGTGCTGTACCACACTGACCAGCATGCCTGCTGAAAGCAGCACCATTGCAACTCCAGCCAGTGCCACGTTCATTGAACACGATGGCTGAATCGTCAATGTAAAACTGCGATTGTGTAGCTACTCCAACCGACATAAGGCCTTGGTTCATTTGATCACCACGCACCCTCACCTGCCAAGTGTGTGTTCCGGTCGTGTACATGTCGGTGCCATACACAGTGGCATACTCCCTGCGTGGATCAGCACAGATTTGAGCAACGGAGTCATTCGTTCCGAAGATGATCATGTTGCTCGTGCACCGCAGTCGGTCAAACCTGACAAGAGCACAAACCTGAAAAGGAATGGATCGGCGCTGATTCGCCAATTTCACCTCCAGCGTATGATCTCCTGCTTGCTCTGGCTTCACCCTAGCACACAGTACAATGTCAGAGGAAGATTTTGTACTCTCCGGAGCCAGCGCAACAGGACGTTGTGAACCCGATGCTGAGACCAGTGAGGCACTCAACTGTTGTCGGATACTACGGCTGATCACAGTGGAGTCGGTGCTATATGGGATAGTCAGTGTGACGTCATAGCTGTTGCCCAGGGTTACATGATCGGGTGCGTTGATGGTTATTTGATCTAAATTCACACCTGGGTCTTCAATAACCTGCACAGCTGACTGGAGCTTTGCATGTATGTCGTCCATTACTGTTTCCATGGTGACAGCCTTGAGTGTTGGTCGTAGTTCTGTGGACTGCTTCTCCTTCTCCAGGTCAGATTTGAATGACTCCAGTTTCTTCTGCACCAGTGCTCCTAGCTGTACGACATCACCATCACAGCATTCAGACTCGCATAGATACTTTGCAAGATCTGTAGCCATGCTCTGCATCTCTTCCATCTGGGTGAGACGTTGCAGTTTCTCTTCCAGTGGCCGCTGCTGTTTCCATCTTCGCTTATCCACTTCACCCAGTAGGTCTGTCTCCCTTTTCTTCATCAGTTTTCGCATGTTTTCAAATGTGTCTGTAATCTGCTGAGATGCAGTTGTAGCCTCATCATTCACAGTTGAAATCTCCTCAGATAACCCAGTCATCATACTTTCCAGGGTGGCAGCTAACCCAATGGCTGAATAACTTGCTGACAAGGAGGCACTGGCTGTGGAGTCCACTGCACTGGTTTTCACCTCCTTCTGCAGAGCTGCTCTTTGCTCACTGGCCATTTCTGCCAAGGGAACAATGCTGTGCTGCTGGTGTCCTTTCACAAGACATTGTTCACAAACTGGCATGTGACAAGTCTTGCACCCACTGGACAACTCATGCCTTCCATGCAATGGACATGGTCTTTCTCTAGCCCTGCTAGTTCCTGCACTGGCTTGGGCGACGGCCAAGGTGGCCAAAGGCCTCAAGTTGTGTTGCCGGTATACTCGAGTTCTTCCATGCTTCTCCGCATGCTCAGTGCACAGGCGTGCTTCATCGCAGTCACTGCACGAGTGTGAAGCACTCTTTTTCACGCCATCGACCTCGCAGAATTCGCAGAATTCCGAAACAGCAGCATTTCCAGGAGTAGCTTCGCTGTCCGCGCTTTGCACATCGTTACTCACACGATGGCTAAGTGTCAACTGTTTGCTGAGATCCACAGACGGGTACCTGGGAAGCGTTTCTACATTGCAAACTGCACACTCGATGCTACCTTGAGGGGTGATGTGTTCTCGCACGCAGCCCACGCAAATAACGTGCAGGCAATTCAGAAATCTTCCCTCACTCGGATTTTCGGTATCACAGAACACACAGAACTTTCCTCTACGACGAGGAACAGCGGCGGTCGCCATTGTGGGCTCCCAGCAGTGGTCTTTTTTCTTCACCGTTCAGCGAAATCGACAGACTGCCAGTGATTTGTTTTGCTCTGGAAAGAAAGCTTCACCTGTTCTGGCGTAATCGTAGCGCAATGCATAATGACGCGCGCACTTAGTCTTTGCCATCATAAACATGGCCCAAGCTCGGTGGTCGGATAGCGATCATGCAGATGATGCCTAGCGCGCGCGAGCGCATGCCGGGCGTGGATGTTCGTGCCACGCGATCGAAGTGCCAGTACTAGTACCACATCTGACTGCAAACCCCCGTGACGCAGGTCACCTGACTGATGTCCTGCAAGACTCCTCTTCATCACGCAGAGACGAATCGAGCGACCTGTGCTGTGCTATAGACTACACTGTAGACTTCTTCAAGTCCTTGTAACTGCGCCGCGCCGGGAGGCGCTAGGCGGGCTCACACGTAGATCTGCACCTCAGTATCATGTATGGCAACCAAGGTTACATATCCCCATGATGACTCAGTCATGACATGTACTGTACAATCATCTAACCCCAAACTGCACTGGCCAAAGCCAAAGCCTAGGGCCAAAGACGAATTGAGGAGCAGTCTAGTCATGCGCACTAGGCCGAAGTAACAAAATTATTTCAAAGTAACGTTAGTTTCTGGCAGCTTGTAGAAAATTTGCTGTTGCCCATAGGCCATGTGCATGATGTGAGGGGGCGCAGCGCTGCCAAAGATTAAAGTTTGTCTTCAGTCATTTCAGACCTACATACACGACTTGTAGATGTACATGTCAACAGTACATGTTACATGTATTGTTGACATGTACATCTATATGAAAATGACTGCATTTTAGAAGTACGTGATGTACTTCTAAAATGCAGTCATTTTCATGTGATCAGGTGTATACTATGCCAGTGTATGGTGCTAGCTGCTGGCCGCTGAGACCACCTGAGTCCTGAGGCTGTGACCATGGTGACCTAGTGCCAGTACTGTATGTACGGCAGTAGTGGCCCCATGCCCAGGGCCAGGCCAAGGCTTGAAAGTGCAGCCGTGGATAAGCGGTACGTACACACATGCACATGCATTTATGCGCTGGTCGCCTGACATGATATCGATTACAGCTTTGAATCGTTTTTTAATATCAAAATAAAATATTTGCCGCGTTGGAAGGTGGGAGATCGGGACTCGACTGTGCACTGAATATGAATGCACGCATGGTTCTGTACGCGCTGAGGCGTGAGGGCGCCGGCCCCGGACTGGATTTCCACGTCCGCTACACTAGCCTACAGTACAGGCATGCAGTCAATAGTACAGTACTCAGTAGTACAGACAGTGATTATGATCGGGATGATGGCCTAGCCTACGCTTGCACTTGCACGTCAAACAGATGAATTATTTTGCACCCGAGCTAGCGCTAGCTAGCTAACCTCTCCTTTCTTTTCATTGAAAAGAAGCGAAGGAGGTTGACAGCTTTACGAAAATAGGGAATGATGTTTGTGGTCGCTAGAAGAAGTCTTTCGTGTCTTCTCGTAATACATGATCAGAAATAGGTAAGCCGTATCTCTTGAAGATTTTGTCGTGCAAGTTAGTTGGACAACGGTGAGCCTGCGCTTCAGGAGCGTTCTGGGTGCATGCGTGAAGGTCCCGTTCCTTCATCCAAACAGTTGAGGAGACGTTCTTATGAAACAGCGGTAAGTGTGTAATATGTTTACCAGGGGGCGTACCCAAGGGGTTCAGCAGGGTTGTTTTTCACAGACCCCTATTGTATTTTGTCGTACGACATGTTTTACATGTATATGTAAGTCATGTATGGACTTGGGCTGAAGAAGCGGCAACCGCTCACAACCACTTGGGGGTCCTACCATCCTTCTTACTACGAAAAGGTGGGCCATTGCACTGTTACAGCTGTTGAATGATGACTTTGCTTTGCAAGCTTTGTAGCTGCATGTAATTGCTATTACTAGTGTAAGCATTACGGCATTACGGCCCGGGGGAACTGTAAGTTGCCGAAGGCGGATGCGATATTTAAGTATGTATAAAACAGGATGGATTTTTGGAGAACAAAGTTTAATGACAATGAGGAGTCCCGACTCTGCAAGTATATCTAGCTTTTTTAGCAGTAGGCTCCTCGGCAATGCGGTCCTCTGATTACGTAGCTGCATTGCTTGTCAGTCCCGGCACTTGGGTCTGGCTCAGCCTCATTCTCTGTTCATTGGAAAAGATACTACACTCGAAGTACACTCTCGGAAACAAGGCAAACACACGAACATCAGATTGATGCGCTCTTGGGCAATAATTTGGAAAGGTTTGGAGAGACAGAGGTATTTTTTTGTTAAGCCAAGGCCTTAGTGCAGCTGTGTGCACTGGCAGTAACTAGTTTGTCAAAGTGCTGGGACAATGATTTATTGTTTGTTATGTTTGTGGTCTCTGAACAGGCCTGAACTGACCCTCGAGTCGCTTGCATACACTACACTAGACATTTACACCTTGACAAGTTGAGTCAGTGCTCATCGCTACCGAGATTCTCAGATGAACGCTCCCCCTCAGCAGTGCGGATCATGGCGGTTATCAGTACTGAGCTGTATTGCAACGCCAACCGTGCTATCGTGGTGCTCATTGCTTTGCTGCCCGCGGTGGTGCTTTCAGCCAGTATGAATGGTGAATGCTTCTGGTTTTAATCTGACAAGTGCATCGGAGCAGCTTGAGTTCAGCCATGACCAGCTTACAGCCCAGCTCAATGAGAGTACCATTGGCAACTGCTCCACGGACGACATTTTCAGCCTGTCTGCACTGCGTCCACACGCACAGGCATGGCTTGTGCTGGTCGCCGATAGACTGATACAGGGGAGCAGCAATGACAGTGTAACTCTGAGAGCTATTTCCAACTTGATTCTGACCAGTAAGTACAGTACCGCTCACTGCAATCCAGTTGTACCAGTAAATAACTGTTGTAACAGCTGTACATGTATGCAGCTAACACAGTCGAGACAGTCAGGTACATGTATGCAGCTAACACAGTCGAGACAGTCAGGTACATGTATGCAGCTAACATAGTCGAGACAGTCAGGTACATGTATGCAGCTAAAACAGTCGAGACAGTCAGGTACATGTATGCAGCTAACATAGTCGAGACAGTCAGGTACATGTATGCAGCTAACACAGTCGAGACAGTCAGGTACATGTATGCAGCTAACACAGTCGAGACAGTCAGGTACATGTATGCAGCTAAAACAGTCGAGACAGTCAGGTACATGTATGCAGCTAAAACAGTCGAGACAGTCAGGTACATGTATGCAGCTAACATAGTCGAGACAGTCAGGTACATGTATGCAGCTAAAACAGTCGAGACAGTCAGGTACATGTATGCAGCTAACACAGTCGAGACAGTCAGGTACATGTATGCAGCTAACACAGTCGAGACAGTCAGGTACATGTATGCAGCTAACACAGTCGAGACAGTCAGGTACATGTATGCAGCTAACACAGTCGAGACAGTCAGGTACATGTATGCAGCTAACACAGTCGAGACAGTCAGGTACATGCCGGGCGTTGCGCAGCCCTACAGTCCATTCGTCGGAAACAGTCCCGCTGGCTTTTGAATGTCAGATTTGGGCCGAATTGAGGATCAAAACCCGCTTTAAATCTAAAAAATCTGGGTTTAGGATCTGCTTCTCCATACATTTTCCATGGCATACCTGTCCTAAGTTTGTAAAACCTGGCTCGATTTCTATTTCCCTGTTCTTGAACTTTTCTGGCCTCAAATGTGGCAAGGAGTAATTGCACGGATCACACAATGCAGGATGTATTGTTGTTTTCACGATATCTACAACTACATGTATATTCGGGAGACACCTAAATGCTAAGGTGCCAGTTTCCAATGAATGGACTGTAGACCTAGGCACATTGGGCTGCGAAATGGTGCAAGGCGCAAACTTGACTCAAGTGACAGGATTTTCTTGAGTAGCAGTGTACGTTTTCTGTGGTGGTCACGACGTGAAACACTGAACCACTGAAATAGGAGGTTTCCAGCACCTATTTCCCCTTTCAGTCTGACTAAGGGACATAGTATTCACAGTTACTTGTACACGATGATGTAAATAGTTGTTGAAGCAGAGCAGAGCACACCTCCTCTTTCCGGACCATTCTGCAATCGTCAAACTCCGTTTCATCGTATGGAAAATTATTGCAGCATTTCGGCAAAATTACGTCTGGGAAGAGGTCTACTCTCCACCGCTTTGTGTGTATTAAGCTGCAGGAAGCCTCGCCACTCTTACTCAACTAGTGGTCTATGTACTATAAGTCTACACATTTTCGGCGGGTTCAATATTCGGCCTCCCAGGCCTAAAACCCATTTTGGCCCCATTGAAATTTCAGCCCCGCACCAAATTTTAGGCCAAAATAGCGCGAAAATAGATATGCGCCGAATATTAAATTTTATTGACTTACAGCAAGTCAGCCATACTCTAAGTCAACAGATATTCAGTGCATATTTATTTTCAGCTATTTTGGCCTGGTCATGTTTGGCCGAAAATTTGTGAGATTTTGTTTGGCCCTGGGAGGCTGAAATTTGGATGGGCCGAAAATTTGTCGACTGACAGGAGTGTCCATATTCCATATACTGTGGATTGTACAGGTTGGCCCGGGACGGTGTTCAAGTGCGCCGCATCACCACTGTACGACACGATCAACAAGATGGAGATAGTCAACGGCCTCGGTGGAAACAGCTACAGCATAGAGCGCGGCAACAGCTCATGCCTGGTAGCGCTGCACAACTCCTCGTCGGTTATCCTGACGGGAATAGCCTTCCAGAAGTGCGTGAGTAATGATGTTCAGCCTGCGGCCGTGGAGGTAGTATCCTCCAGGGATGTATACGTTGTCCGCTCCAGATTCAGGTAGGACTGTTATGCGATGTTACCCACCGCCTGCCTACCTGTTTGGGCAATCTACATGACATGCTCTGTCTATTTCTAAAATTAAGCTGGAAGCTGATCAACATGGAGATTTAAAGGACTTTGAAATTAGATATCAAAACCAAAGTTTGTTTTGAGAGTCAGTGAGACATACTGTTCTCGCACTGCTGTGCATGCCTAGGTGCCACACCATCATCCAGCAGTCAAAGTGACGGCGGAAATCTCATTCTCCGATAATGTGGCAGCAAGAATTCATGAAGTCCCACCCCCCACCTTTCTGACAACCCCATCCCACAATAACCCTCCCACCCGACAATACTCCCTGAAAACCCCCTCCCACCCCCGACCCTCCCTCAATGGTAGAAAGTACTGTAAAGTATGTCATAGTGAATCATCACAGCCCTTTCCTGGTCATGTTTTGGAGGTGGGACAAAATGGTTGAGTCTTGTCTTGGTCATTTGGCGAATACCTTGTGCAGTCAACCCATTTGTTTGTTGCCGGGCAGAAGTGAGCTTTGCACAAGAACTCTGAGCTGCTGTACTGTGTGACTAAGTTTGACCCCAGTTCGCCGAGGCTCCTTTACCATATAACCTTATGTGCAATCGACAATGCGATTATCCCTTCACTGGGTGGACATCAAGTTGCTCTCATTAGATCGGCACTCTTGTGGGGTACTTTCCGACCTCTGGTTGTTTAGATTCTCAAGGCCTGAATATAACATTATGCATTTGTACGTTTTTGCGTTGCTGTCAGTACCACTTCATGCACTGAGGCATGTACCGTACTCGCGCGATTAGAGCCCTCTCTTGAATAGTGCCCTATCTCGAATAGTGCCCTAGTCTCCAAGAGCCAGTGAAAAATAAAGCCCTCTCTTGAATAGTGCCCCCCCCCCCCGGTCTTTTAACAAAGTCCATGTGCAAGTTTGGTGTTCTTTTGCTAATGTTCTTGGCCATTTCTTGGCATTGGTGTTTTCAGGAACAAAATCGCAGGTCTTGTTGCCGTTTCTGTGGAGTCGTGAGCATTCACAGTACACTTTAGGCTCTGTTTTTCTTTGTGTTATGCTGGATGATGCAAATGTACCAGTAATGAAAAAATAGTGCCCTCTCTTGAATACTGCCCTTTCTTGAATACTGTCCCATCTGTGATGAACATTGAAAAATAGTGCCCCAGGGGCACTAATCCCCAGGGGCACTAATCCCCAGGGGCACTAATCCCCAGGGGCACTAATCCTCAGGGGCACTAATCCCCAGGGGCACTAATCCCCAGGGGCACTAATCGCGCGAGTACGGTACATGTACTACTACGATGAGGTCTGCGACCGCAGACGTGCATTAAGGATGTATGCACGTCGTCGGTACTTGATACACGCTAGCAGTTACCGTAAAGTACCGCCAGAGCGCCCTACCATCTCATCCTTTCGTGGTCGTATTGTGGAGGTGGTCTCCTGCCTGTAGGTCATACAACACGAACTTTGTACACATATTGCACGTTGTGTAGACAATCCGTACCTTCGAGCGGATACAAGCTCAACACAAAAACCTGCGTAGTGTGACCTTAGTACACTAAAAGATTCTCACACAGTACAAACTTCGGTGCACTCTACCATACGATTTTCTTTTCACTGGCTGTAAAATCAAGGTGGGGCGCTCTGGCGGTACTTTACGGAATTAGTACGCCTGGCCATGTACGGTGTAGCAAAGCCAGTGAACCTTGGTATCACGCACCCAGTAGAGCATGTGTGTTTCAGGATTGATTAATAATAGGTGTTGGCTGATTGGGAAAATCAAAAATAATGTGAAAAATGGGGGACGGAGAAAAGTTTGCAAAAAGGACGAATTTATATATTTTTCGATAATCACAGACGACGCCTTGGCTACATTTGAACCTCAACTCTGTGTGTGTTGCAGCACTTAAACCTGGAGAGAAATATCAGCATAGCCTCTGCTGTACGGGTGCTGGTAGACGAAGGGGAGTGGTTGCACAACAGAGGTGGGTTGTGGGACAGAGGGGAGTGGTTGCTACACAGCGGGCAGAGGTTGCTAAGAAAAAGAGATGTTACTATGCTAGTCTCCAATACTATTCTCATCTTGCTTCCACCGTGCAGTGACAACTTTGGCCCCGCAGTAGCGATAGTGAACTCGTCGACGGTCGTTTCTGCCTGCACATTCCAGGACAACATTCGCTTTGGCACGGTCAGCAAGAGCAGAGTGTTCAATCCACTGCAGGGAAGCAGCAGCATGATTGTCGCGATCGGCGATAGCGAACCGCACGTCGTGACCATAGCCGACTCGGTGTTCAACGGCAACATCAACACGCAGACCAAGACGGATGACTATGCCCGCGACAAGGGTGGCCACGGCGCAGGCCTCAGCGTCACGTTTCACCACGCGCACGGCCAGCCGGTCGTCAGGATTACCAACTCCACGTTCTTCCAGAACGCTGCACGCCAGTTCGGCGGTAAGTGACACACACACACGCGCACACACACACGCACTGTACTTGTACTTGCTCACTGCCATGACTAGTCACGCGATTCTCCCGCGACGAGGGGAGAGAGATTGAAAAGGAATCTTGGAAAGATGACTCAATTGGCTATTGAACCGCCCAACGGCCGACATCTCCTGAAATCCCCAACGCTCTGGGTGGACTTGCACATGATTCCACTTATGGGCTCATCACACCTCAGTAAGTGGGTGAGGACAAAGTGCAGAAAAGGGATTAACGGCATCAAGGTATCCGTCCCGGGATCAAACTGCAGTTACCCCTGCCCCCAGATAAGGTAATACTTGCTACCAGCGTGGGCGGCTTAATCATAGTGGATCTGATATTAGCTTCACAAGCACCCTTATGACACAAGCCAGGCCACCAGGCAACTGCTCACAACCACGAGGGGGTCCTACCATCCTCAGTCTACGATCTTACTACGAAAAAGTGGGCAATTGCACTATTGCATCTGTTGATGACTTGGCTTTGCAAGCTTTGTAGCTGCATGTTAATCCTATTACTAGTGTTAGCATTACGGCCCGGGGGAACTGTAAATTACCGAAGGCGGATGCGATAGTGAAGTATGTATAAAACAGGATGGATTATTTTGGAGAACAAAGTTTAATGACAATGAGGAGTCCCGACTCTGCAAGTATATCTTCATGCGTTAGCGATAAGTTTGAACTTGAAATGTGAAGAAGCCATACTCTTCTCATCAATGTTTTCTTTACAATTAATTCAGTCCAGAAACTGACGAGTTCGATATCACAACACACTCCTTCGCTGAGACCTTCGCTTCCCACAAAGCGGACATAGGCCACAGAAACAGAGTGGACTGGAGGTATTATCAGCCAGGCATGTTACCAGTACATGTAACTTGAATTTTCTAATGTCTCTTCCATTCCGCGACATGAAAACTCGTTGCCAACGCCATCTATGGATACTCTCTCCTTGCTCTTTTTTTGTCACCTGCTGCTGCTAAGCACTTAACCAAGCAGGAAGCTAGCATCGAAATCAGGAAAAATAGTCAGCTTTTTTGGCAGCAGGCTCCTCGGCAATGTGGTGCTCTGATTACGTAGCTGCACTGCTTGTGAGTCCAGGCACGTGGGTCTGGCTCAGCCTCATTCTCTGTTCATTCCGAAAGATTATACACTCGAACTACACTCTCGGAAACAAGGCAAACACATGAACATCAGAATGATGCGCTCTTGGGCGATAATTCAGAAAGATTAGGAGAGATTTGGAGAGACTGAGGTAATTGTTTGTTAAGCCAAGGCATTAGTTCGGCTGTGTGCGCTGGCAGTTAATAGTTGGTCAAGGGCTGGGACAATGATTGATTGTTTGTTATGTTTGTGTTCTCTGAACAGGCCTGAACTGACCCTCAAGTCGCTTAGATGCAGTACACTGGACATGTACACATTGACAAGTTAAATCAGTGCTCATTGCTACCTAGATTCTCAGACGAATGGTCCCCCATAGCAGTGGTCATAGCGGTTATCAGTACTGCGCTGAATTATATCGCCAACCGTGCTATCGTACTGCTCACTACTCTGCTGCCCGCGGTGGTCCTTTCAGCCAGTCTGAATGGTGACTGGTTCAAGTATGATCTCACACTTTTAGTGTACCAGACCAGCTTGAATTCAGCCATTACCAGCTCACCACCCAGGTCAATTGAAGCACCATTGGCAACTGCTCCACAAACCATCGCCAGGGACACAAACTTTCAGAGACGTTTCGTTTCCAGCATGACAAACCATGTCTGTTCAACGTCTGTTCTTATTGGCCACAAGCGACACTGACTCACGCTAGTATCAGGTGTTCACGAGGTGTTTTTCGTGCTGGAAACGGAGAGTCTCTGTACGTTTGTCTCCCTGGTGATAGTTTGACATGGAGAGCACTATAAGTGATGTTCCTCCCACACAATCTTCCTCAGGCTACTCAAGCTCCCGAAGGACTGTGTATTGAGCAGGGAGTGGTGCTTTCTTGCAGGTTTGCCGAGTCGAAGGTTCAATGGACTTCTCGTGTGCTCTGGAGTCAGTCTTGAGGCAGTCAAATATCAAGTCAAGTCGGCGCAAACGCGAGGTACGGTGTGGGGAGCAAACACTTTCCCTATGCAATCATTGCCGAAGTCGCTTCCACTATCTGTCATCATAATAACTCTTGAAACCATTGGTTTTTTCCAGATTTTCCCGTTGGTGTCTTTTCCTCAAACCAGTGAATATCTTTCCATAATCATAGAAATTGTAAAAAACAGTACTAGAAACAGAAAACAGTCAATTACTTGAATGTGTTCACACCAATGATCATAGAATCACAATACTGAACTTCTAAAGAATATTGTTTTTAAAAATAAGAGCAGGTGATAAACACCACACATTAATTGTAAACGAGAACTATCAATATTCTGCAGAATACATACATGTATAGCAACTTTCGGAATAATGGCAATGTCTACACTACGGTTCATTCATTGCAACTACATGTGCTACCAACACGTTTTGGTGTCTCCGGCCTACATGATAGCTGTAGGTCTTGTGAAAGCAACAGTCCTGCACACTGCATTCTGTCACCCGGGCAATTATTCTTCCCCACATTTTGAGCGAGAAAATTCCTACAACAGAAATTTAGCCAGGTTTTACAAAATTAGAACATGTATGCCATTGCAAAATGTATGGAGAAGCAAATAGAAAATCCAACCTTTTCAAGTTTAAGGTGGGTTTCGAGCATCAGTTTGGCCAGAATTGGGCATTGAAAACCCAGTGGGACTATTTTGGATGATTGAACTGTAATGAAAACCATGGCCAAACTGTAAAATTAAATACCGTTCTGTGCCACAACGCTTTGGCTAAGGGCCGTTTCACACGAGGTATACATGGCTTTTCACGAATGGGCGTTCTAGGCACAGTACACAGCGCGTGATTTCACAGCTCCTTTTTGAAAATGTTTTCGATGAGTGATGTGTCGCTTTGTTTTGCTCTAATTGGTGCTTTTCTCCAATGCCATGCAGTCGTATTTATTCAGCTTTTATTTCTTGTGTACTTGCATACTGGTATTAGTTTAGTCCCACAATCTGCGATAAAATGATCCGCTGTAGCACCTACTCCACTTTTATGTTTATGTATCTATGTCATTCGGATCTTCCCAAGTTGTACAATGTACTGTTGAGATACCGAATTCAAATAAATCAATACCATACCATACCATACACGAGTGTCGCAACATGCTTTTCAAGCAGCAGTTGCCATGGCAGCTTTGACCTGCCTCGCACAGAAGTCGTAAAATACGGAATCCGCACGCGAACGCGGGAGTTTTGAACACAAAATAATAATAATTATTATTAGTTTGGCAAGGAGATGTTCTCTCCCTGATTCTCGTTTTCTTTGATCGCCACAAGGAGAAAAAGATGAACGGACGAGAGAGGTTGCAAAGGATGGCCAGGCGTTGAAGGACTGCATTGCCCTCGCTTGTTCAAAGTGTAATTTCAAGTTTTTCTCTGGATTCAACCATCCTGAGCGGAAGGTTTGATTTCCTCAATTTGATCGAGTCCACTCAGGTGTCTTCTCGCAGGCGTCGCGCGAAATTTATGCTCTTGATAGTCGGCCCACAACTCAATAAGTCTAGCCTCCAGGTCATCAGAGAATATTTGGCGAGGCATTGTCCGAAACGGAAGGCACAACCAGCAACCAGCAATGAAAGCAAACAGAAGCAAAAAAAGCAAACACGACGACAGATCACAATGCAAGGAAAACGAAGTTTGTCAGTAGAACGCTGGGTATATCCTGCTTTCTACACCCCTCCTGGTCTTGCTGAAAACGTACACGGTGCGTTTCACATTTCGCGCCAAAAGTGCTCCATCTCCTAGGGAACATAACCGGAAACGTGACATGTACGCGATTTTGTACCTCGTGTGAAACGGCCCTAAGCTGAACTATGACAAAGTTAGAGGATCTCTACTCGTCCGAAACGATCCCAGATAGACACACAAAAATAGAACTGCTTCCCCTGGACTTCGATTTCAGTGATCACCTTACGTTCGCCTGTACGCTGCACATGTAACTGAAGAGTGCCGGCATCGCAGTCAAACTTGAAAGTGAGAATGTCATCATCCTGCCATGCTGCAGTACGTGCTGTACCACACTGACCAGCATGATTGCTGAAAGGACCACCGCCCCTGTTCCAGCCAGTGCCACGTCGACTGAACAAGATGACTGAATTGTCAATGTCACCTTGCGGTAGTGTAGCTACTCCAACCTGCATATGGCCAGTGCTCAATCGATCACCACGCACTCTCACCTGCCAAGAGTGTGTTCCGGCCGTGTACATGTTGGTACCACACACATTGGCACGCTTGTTGATTGGATTAGCACAGATTTGAGCAACCGAGTCATTCGTTCCGGAGATGATCATGTCGCTCGAGCACCGCCGTCGGTCAAACCTGACAAGAGCACAAACCTGAAAAGGAATAGATCGGCGCTGATTCGCTAATTTCACCTCCAGCGTATGATCTCCTGCTTGCTCTGGCTTCCCCCTAGCACACAGTACAATGTCAGATGGAGATGTTGTACTGTCCTCAGCCAGGTGAACAGGACGTTGTGAAACCAATGCTGAGATCAGTGAGGCACTCAACTGTTGTCGGATACTACGGCTGATCACAGTGGAGTCGGTGCTATATGGGATAGTCAGTGTGACGTCATAGCTGTTGCCCAGGGTTACATGATCGGGTGCGTTGATGGTTATTTGATCTAAATTCACACCTGGGTCTTCAATAACCTGCACAGCTGACTGGAGCTTTGCACGTATGTCGTCCACTGCTGTTTCCATGGTGACAGCCTTGAGCGTTGGTCGTAGTTCTGTGGACTGCTTTTCCTTCTCCAGGTCAGAATTCAATGACTCCAGTTTCTTCTGCACCAGTGCTCCTAGCTGTACGACATCACCATCACAGCATTCAGACTCGCACATATACTTTGCAAGATCTGTAGCCATGCTCTGCATCTCTTCCATCTGGGTGAGACGTTGCAGTTTCTCTTCCAGTGGCCGCTGCTGTTTCCATCTTCGCTTATCCACTTCACCCAGTAGGTCTGTCTCCCTTTTCGTCATCAGTTTTCGCAGGTTTTCAAATGTGTCTGTAATCTGCTGAGATGCAGTTGTAGCCTCATCATTCACAGTTGAAATCTCCTCAGATACCCCAGTCATCATACTTTCCAGGGTGGCAGCTAACCCAATGGCTGAATAACTTGCTGACAAGAAGGCACTGGCTGTGGAGTCCACTGCACTGGTTTTCACCTCCTTCTGCAGAGCTGCTCTTTGGTCACTGGCCATTTCTGCCAAGGGAACAATGCTGTGCTGCTGGTGTCCTTTCACAAGACATTGTTCACAAACTGGCATGTGACAAGTCTTGCACCCACTGGACAAATCATGCCTTCCATGCAATGGACATGGCCTTTCTCTAGCCTTGCTAGTTCCTGCACTGGCTTGGTCGATCGCCAATGTGGACAATGGCTTCACGTCATGCTGTCGGAATGCTCGAGTTCTCCCATGTTTTTCGACATGCTCAGTGCACAGGCGTGCTTCATCGCAGCCACTGCACGAGTGTGAAGCACTCCGTTTCACGCCATCGACCTCACAGAATTCGCAGAATTCCGCGAAAGCAACATTTCCAGGAGTAGCTTCTCTGCTCGCGCTTTGCACGTTACCCAAACGCTGGCTAGGTGTCAACTGTTTGCTGAGATCCACAGATGGGTACCTGGGAAGCGTTTCTACCTTGCAAACTGCACACTCGATACTACCTTGAGGGGTGATGTGTTCTCGCACGCAGCCCACGCAAATAACGTGCAGGCAATTCAGAAATCTTCCCTCATTCGGATTGTCGGTATCACAGAACACACAGTACTTTGATCTACCGCGAGGAACAGCGGTGGTCGCCATTGTGGGCTCCTAGCAGTGGTTTTCTTCACCGTTCAGCGAAATCGACAGACTACCAGTGATTTGTTTTGTTCGGCAAAGAAAGCTTCACCTGTTCTGGCGTTACCGACGTCGACCGTAGGCTAGCGCAATGCCGTGCGCACTTTGCCATCATAATAAACATGGCCTTCAGCGCGGTGGTCAGGTCCGGGTAGCGATCATCCAGATTGATGACTAGCGCGAGCGCCTATGCCGTGGCGTGGGCGTGGATTTTCGTTCTGCGCCGGGAGGCGGGCTCACAGTCACACGTAGATCTTCACCCCAGAATGGCAACCAAGGTAACTGGTTACATCCCCATGACATGATGTCTAACCCCAAACTTGACGCAGGTCACCTGATCAAGGACAAGGTGTGGGTCCTCCTCACTCAGCAGAGACGAATCGAGCGAGCTGTACTCCCGTCGTCGCCAAAAAAATCCGGCCAATGCCAAGTATACGCGTACATAGGTATGGTAGGTAGATCTACGCGGTACTTCATCGCGGGTTCATGCACTGGGGAGTGGAGTGGCACATGCACTAGTCTCAGTATTAGTCTAGGCCATTGTACTGCCACTGCCACTGCCACTGGACAGCACTCAGAACAGTCTGCGCCGCACTCTGCCTGCTGTAGTCGGGTTGAGCACTGCGCCGAGCCTGAGTCTGACTCTGAGTGAGTGTAGAAGGCGACGGTTTCAAATAGGACATACCGGTAGATTACCGGACCGGACTCAATATTCACTTTCTCTCTTGGTATTTTGATAAGAAAACATATGTCACAGTGAGACTACGATGTGTTATAACTTATACTCCGAGCCAAAATTTCATGGCTCTGCGATGACCAGAAGCGCCACACCAAGCAGGTGAGTTTTTGACGTGTTGCTTCGCACTGCAACTTGAGTTTTACGACTTTCGAAAAATCAACTTCTTGTCGCAGGTAAACAGCGGCTCGCCTCTCGCCAATAAAGCACCGCATACCAATCAAAACTAATGGAGAAGCACACACAAGGCTTATTGTTACTCTGTACTGGCCGTCGTGGAGCGATAGCATTTACCTAATTTCAGACTAATAGAGTGAATTTGACGTGCACTCTAAAACCTTGCCGATTTGGAGCCACCTCTGATTTGAAGCGAAAAATTGGGCAACTTGGAGGCAATGGGTCAACACAAAGGAGTGGCTCAGTTCGATTGACTCTGGCCTCAGAGCAAACTTCAACATGCCAGTTTCCTTCCACAAACATATTTCGAGTGAACAATCAACGCTGATGATAGGTTTGCATGGTTTGGGCCTATACAAATTATTTGGCTGACCTGTCAAGCCGTTGTCACCTACAGCTAGCTACATGGTGTATGCGGGCCTAGCCTGTCAGCATGTGAACAGTGAAGTAACTGCAGACCCGGTCTACCATGGTCTACCAGTACCACTACCACTTTTGGCACTAAGTATGAAGTATGATACAGTGCATGCGGCCCAGTACAGCTACCGGTAGCTAGCATTGCATTTGGCCGGATTTTTTTGGCGACGACTGTACCATGCCTACTGTACTACTGTAGTCTGTAGTGACTAGTGTAGTTGTGCCGGGAGGTGGTCTCACAGCACACCCTGTTGTACGCCAGTATGGCAACCAAGGTTACATCCCCATGAGTCATCATCATGACATGTCTAACCCCCCCCCCAAGACGAAGTGAGAAGCAGTCTAGTCATCATGGTCATGCGTGCACTGAGTAGTATACTGGCGGAAGTAATGTTACCGGTAAACAAAATTAATAATAAATTAGTGCTACGTCACAGCATAGCAACAATTTCAAAAATTCAAAAACTGGATCCACTTGGATCCAGTTTTTGTATGGATCCAAGCACATTTCAAGCGGTCTTACCCACAGCATGGTGATGTAGCCAGTGAAACTGACTGATTTGGCTACTGGGGGCGGGGTTACAACTGGTGGCGAAATATAAGTCACACCTGCATGCGACATGAGTGGGTTGCTATGCACCCACATACTTAGGCAATAGCAAAGTCACACCTTAGTGGATCCAAAAATAGAAATCTGATGTCAACTTACTACTCCCTGGCCGTTTTGACGTCATCACTTTCAAGCCCTATTATAAAGTTTTTGGCAGCTTGTTACGTAGACGTACATGTATACTTTAATTGTAGAAAATTTGCTGTTGCGTTGCCTCGACTCAGGCTGGAGCTGAGCCTGAGCCTGAGGCGCCGCAGCGTTGCCTGTTTCAGTCATTTCACTTTTTTCAGACCTACACGACTTGTACATGTCAACAGGCAGTCATTTTCATGTGGCCAGGTGTATCATGGTGAATGGTGCAGGCCACGTTTGCATTACAGGTAGATCTACACTACACAGCCATGTGATGGCCTACGCTTGCACGTCAAATAAATGAATTCATGAAGTTGGTTGCTCCAACGAGGAGCACACGCTTCTTGCGGATGGCAGTCGTGAGTCAGTCAAGTGTCAAGTTCGGCAAGAAGCGTGTGCTCCTCGTTGGAGCAACCAACTTCATGACTATTACCGCCGAAGTCGCAACTTCTAAGTTCGAAAGAAATGAATTATTTTATAATATTATTAATTTTTGCACCTGAGCTAGCGCTAGCTAGCTAACCTGTCCTTTCTTTTCGTTGAAAAGAAACGAAGGATTTTGACAGCTTTACGATAATTAGGGAATGATGTTTGTGGTCGCTAGAAGAAGTCTTTCGTTTCTTCTCGCAATCATCCGAAATAGGTGAGCCGTATCTCTTGAAGATTTTGTCGTGCAAGTTAGTTGGACAACGGTGACCAGGTGACCAGCCTGCGCTTCAGGAGCGTTCTGGGTGCATGCGTGAAGGTCCCGTTCCTTCATCCAAACAGTTGAGGAGACGTTCGTATGAAACAGTGGTAAGTGTGTAATATGTTTACCAGGCGCGTACCCAAGGGGTTCAGCAGGGTTGTTTTTCACAGACCCCTATTTTATTTTGTCGTACGACATGTTTTACATGACTGTACATGTAAGTCATGTATGGACTTAGCGTCTTAGGCTGAAGAAGCGGCAACCGCTCACAACCACTAGGGGGTCCTACCATCCTATGATCTTACTACGAAAAGGTGGTCACTGTTACAGCTGTTGAATGATGACTTTGCTGTGCGAGCTTTGTAGCTGCATGTAATTGCTATTACTACAGTCCATTCAGAAAAAAGATAATATCCTAGCTTTTGGCCATAAACGGGTCAAATTTGGAGTTTTCGTCACAATTGTTTTGCCCCATGGAATGCTCTTCCAATTGTGTTTTTGTACTACAGTCCATTCAGAAAAAGATGATATCCTAGCTTTTGGTCATAAACAGGTCAAATTTTGAGTTTTCGTCACAATTGTTTTGGCAATCCCCCATGGAGTGCTCTTTCAATTGTGTTTTTGAAGTCTATTTCTCCAAAAAGCAAGCCATAACAAGAATAGGATTTCGGCCAGGTTTTGCCCCCAAGGCACTGAATTGGGTAAAAACCATGAAAATCCAAGCCGTTCACTCCACTTGCATAACAGTACATTTGCGGCTCGAACCCCAGTTGAGGTGCCTTTTTTGGACCCTTTTCAAGTTTCGAATCGCGCGGCACTGCCAAGTGTAGCACAAAATCGCCAAACACGGGAGCTCTCCAGAGCCAGCACTCCCCTTTTTTTCTGAATGGACTGTAGTGTAAGCATTACGGCCCGGGGAACTGTAAATGACCAAAGGCGGATGCGATAGTGAAGTATGTAAAAAACAGGATGGATTATTTTGGAGAACAAAGTTTAATGTAAATGAGGAGTCCCGACTCTGCAAGTATATCTTCATGCGTTAGGGATTAGTTTGAACTTGAAATGTGAAGAAGCCATACTCTTCTTCGCAATGTTTACAGTCAGTTCAGTAACTGACGTGTTCGGGATCACAACACACTCCTCCACTGAGACGTTCTCTTCCCACAGAGCAGACATAGGCTTCCGAAACAGCATGGACTGGAGTTATAATCACCCAGGCATGATACTAGTACATTCCACTTGCATTTGCTAATGTCTCTTCCATTCCGCGACATGAGACCTTGTTGCCAACGCCATCTATGGATACTCTCTCCTTGCTCTTTCTCTGTCACATGCTGCTGCTAAGCACCTGACCAAGCAGGAAGCTAGCATCAAAAGCAGGAAAAATGGTCAGCTTTTTTAGCAGTAGGCTCCTCGGCAATGCGGTCCTCTGATTACGTAGCTGCATTGCTTGTCAGTCCAGGGACGTGGGTCTGGCTCAGCCTCATTCTCTGTTCATTGGTAAAGATACTACACTCGAACTACACTCTCGGAAACAAGGCAAACACATGAACAGCAGATTGATGCGCTCTTGGGCTAAAATTTGGAAAGGTTTGGAGAGATTTGGAGAGACTGAGGATTTTTTTTGTTTAGCCAAGGCCTTAGTGCAGCTGTGTGCGCTGGCAGTTACTAGTTTGTCAAAGTGCAGGGACAATGATTTGTTTGTTTGTTTGTGGTCTCTGAACAGACCTGAACTGACCCTCGAGTCGCTTGCATACGCTACACTGGACATTTACACCTTGACAAGTTGAGTGAGTGATCATTGCTACCAAGATTCTCAGATGAACGCTCCCCCTCAGCAGTGCGGATCATGGCGGTTATCAGTACTGCGCTGTATTGCAACGCCAACCGTGCTATCGTGGTGCTCATTGCTTTGCTGCCCGCGGTGGTGCTTTCAGCCAGTATGAGTGGTGAATGCTTCTGGTTTAATCTGACAAGTGCACCGGAGCAGCTTGAGTTCAGCCATGACCAGCTTACAGCCCAGCTCAATGAGAGTTTCATTGGCAACTGCTCCACGGACGACATTGTCAGCCTGTCTGCACTGCGTCCACACGCCCAGACATGGCTTGTGCTGGTCGCCGATAGACTGATACAGGGGAGCAGCAATGACAGTGTCACTCTGAGAGCTATTTCCAACTTGATTCTGACCAGTAAGTACAGTACCGCTCACTGCAATCCAGTTGTACCAGTTGTAACAGCTGTACATGTATGCAGCTAACACAGTCGAGACAGTCAGGTACATGTATGCAGCTAACACAGTCGAGACAGTCAGGTACACGCCGGGCGTTGCGCAGCCCTAGACCTACGCACATTGGGCTGCGAAATGGTGCAGGGCGCAAACGTAACTCATGCGACAGGATTTTGCTGAGTAGCAGTGTACATTTTCTGTGGTGCTCACGGTGTCAAACACTGAACCACTGAAATAGGATGTTTCCAGCACCTATTTCCTCTTTCAGTCTGACTAAGGGACATTGTATTCCCTGTTACTTGTACACGATGATGTAAATAGTGTGGAAGCAGAGCAGAGCACACCTCCTCTTTCCGGACCATACTGCAATCGTCAAACTCCGTTTCATCGTATGGTCCATTATTGCAGCATTTCGGCAAAATTACGTCTGGGAAGCGGTCTACTCTCCACCGCTTTGTGTGTATTAAGCTGCAGGAAGCCTCGCCACTCTTACTCAACTAGTGCTCTATGTACTATAAGTCTACACATTTTCGGCGGGTTCAATATTCGGCCTCCCAGGGCTAAAACCCATTTTGGCCCCATTGAAATTTCAGCCCCCGCACCAAATTTTAGGCCAAAATAGCGCGAAAATAAATATGCGCCGAATCATTTTTATTGACTTACAGCAAGTCAGCCATACTCTAAGTCAACAGATATTCAGTGCATAATGGAAGTTTCCGGAGGAGGAAGGAGGAAACTGTAGTTATCACCAACCCTCACCGCGCCCAGCTCACGCCGCTACGGCGTGCGACCTGAGCTGGGCGCCCTGCCCAGTATGGAACTGTCCTCAAGCCAGTCACGTATTTGGCAGCCCAGTGAGCTGTCTACCGGATCGCAGCGTTTAGAAGCGCCAAATGCGGCAGGGCCAGTCTCAGGCTGGTCGCGTAGGCGGCAGGCCGGCGGGCGACCGGCAAGGCTGCATTCGCATTTGGATCACCGAAGTGATACAGGTGCTTCGACGGCACTCCGTGGCGCATCAAGGAGGCATCTGGGGCCCAGGCAGCCCGCCCGTAAGCGCACCACCGTATCAGGTATGCGCAGGTGGAGCAGCAGAGCAAGATGTGTGCCGGACACTCACCATCATCCGGTCGACTGCATGGTTGTGCGACTTTACACAGCTGTCACTCATTACTTGCTATTGCTTGCAGAAGGCCAGAATTTTTTTGCTCTCGTTTGCTCTAAAGCTAGTTGGTTTACATGGTTTATACCCGTAACTGAGCATGGATCCTACTCAGCAGCGGATCGCTGGTATTCCTCGTTTGAGACCGCGGCGACGGCAGCGTCGGCCCTGACCAACAAGCCTCGGGCGATGAGCATGCCGGCCGAAAATGCAGGCATGGACACTGTCGTGTATGACCAGTTTAGTTGAGTTCCTTGGAGGCGCTATGATGCCGGCCGGCGCATGTGTTGGCGCACGGGAGACGATTAGGACAATACGGCGTGCGGAATACGTCGAGCTGGCCACAATGCTTCCTTCCTGTCCTGCCCACACGCAGCCAGCAGCCAAACGTGTTAGAATCGATCAATCCGATGGCAATCACTGAGTGGAATTGTCATTGGCGGCTCCTCTTCTGGCAAGAGAAAAACAGAATCTCTAATCTACTGGGTCGAGGCCTGGCAGACTTTAAGAACCATCGCGCCTTGCAACACGAGCTTACGCCCTCTGGGGCCCTAAGTAGTCCGACAAGAAATTCATACTGCACGGCGACAAAAAGGCAGTTGGAGCAGTCCGAAATCCGGGACTTGCCGAAATCCAACCGTGATGGAACTAGCCACTTCAGCCCCCACATGGTAGCAGAACACAAGGCTATATCTCGCTGACTACCCATATTACGGTCACGGACAACTCCGCTGCGGACGCTCTTTCACGCGGACGATTAGTCCATTTCCTCTCATCGGCTCCCTAATCCAGCTGCTGGACTCAGCTTAGTCCCGAACTCATACTATGCGGGAGCAACTAATCATGGCAGCAAACCGGCTGAACTTCTTCTCAACCAATGCGTGCCTCCTTTTTCATTCGCTGTGTAGTCTATCTCTCTCAGCACACGTGGGTAAGCACGCAAGCACACACACACACCCACGCACACGCATACATACATACATACATACATACATACATACATACATACATACATACATACATACATACATACATACATACATACACACACACACATACTCTCTCTCTCTCTCTCTCTCTCTTTATCCTCCTCTCCTCCATCCCTCACCCTGCTTCGCCTCTAAGTGCTGTCGCTCCCCTCCCCTTCCTACTCGTACTAGGCGGCATTACACCAAGTCTCAGCATGTGGGGTCTACTTTGCTGTTTTGGGGCTTTGTTTGGACATGGCAAGCTGTTATCTTTTTCCTTGCGGCTGTCGTCGCTGTTGCCATTGTTGTTTAGATACCACGGCGAGCCGGCAGTACGTGCCGGTGTTGGCGGGCTGGCGACCTTGTTTTACTTTCAGTAATTAACACTTTACCCGAGGTGCGACGGATTAATCCGTCACGACCGCGCAGGGCATATTGCAGACACGCGTATGTGCGTTACACACACACACTCACACATTATGCGCACCCGGCGGGCAGGGCGATTGGCCCATGCTGCTTATTCAGTTGTACTAGCGGAGGCAGGGGCGATTCCCCTACGTAATCGCCCATGCGGCGGAATACCCGGCGGCCTGATACGGCGGCGTTGCGAGCAAATGCAGGGGTGGTTCCCTTTTGAGCTCTGTTTGTGGCGGCGGCAGAGGCAGGGGCAGCACCCCTAGCCCATGCGGCGGTTGACCCGGCGGCCCGACATGGCAGTTGGCCCAGGGGTCCGATATGGCTACTGACCCGGCGGTCTGATATGGCGGCTGACCCAGCGGTCTGATATGGCGGCGGCGGCTGACCCAGCGGTCTGATATGGCGGCTGACCCAGCGGTCTGATATGGCGGCTGACCCAGCGGTCTGATATGGCGGCTGACCCGGCGGTCTGATACGGCGGCTATGCGAGCAAATGCAGGGGCAGCGCCCCTTTGCGCGTGTTGTTTGCGGCGGCATTGGTCAAGGCAGGGGCAGCGCGCCTCGCCTGGGTGGCGTTATGCCCGGCGCTGCGGCTATGTTTGCAAAACGCAGGGGCCGCTCCCCTTTGAGCTTTGTATGTTTACAGCTATGTTTGCAAGATTCAGGGGCAGCTCCCCTTGGGGCCTGGTACAGTTATGTTTGCAAAAAGCAGGGGCAACTCCCCTCCGAGCCTTGTATGTAATCGTTTACAGCGATGCTTGCAGAAAGCAGGGGCAGCTCCCCTTAGTGCGTGGTATGTTTACAGCTATGTTTGCGAGGAAGAAACAAAAAAAAAGGGCTTGGAGCTGGGTATGTTTACGGCCACGTTTGCAAAATGCAGGGGTAGCTCTCCTTGGAGCTTTAGCTAGTTGACAGCTACGCGACAAAATGCAGGGACAGCTCCCCTTGGAGCTTTGGATGTTTACAGCTATGTTTGCAAAATGCAGGGGCAGCTCCCCTTGGAGCTTTTAAAACTAGTTTACAGCTGTGCGGACAAAATGCAGGGGCAGCACTCCTTGAAACTTTGGATGTTTACCACTATGTTGGCTAAATGCAGGGGCAGTTCCCCTTGGGGCTTGGATGTTTACAGCCAGGTTTGCAAAATGCAGGGGTAGCTCCCCTCAGAGCGTTGTAGGTTTACAGCTAGGTTTGCCAAATGCAGGGGCAGCTCCCCTTGGAACTTTGGATGTTTACAGCTATATTTGCAAATACAGGGGCAGCTCCCCTTGGAGCCTTCTAGTTCTACGTTTACAACTATGTTTGCAAAATGCAGGGGCAGCTCCCCTTTGAGCTTCGTAGGTTTACTGCTAGGTTTGCAAAACGCAGGGGTAGCTCCCCTTTGGAGCTTTGGATGTTTACAGCTATGCTTGCAAACTGCAGGGGCAGCTCCCCTGGGAGCTTTTGAAGTTGGATGTTTACAGGTGTGGTCGCAAAATGCAGGGGCAGCTCCCCTGGGAGCTTTGGATGTTTACAGCTATGTTTGCAAATGCAGGGTCAGCCCCCTTGGAGCCTTGGATGCTTACAACTATGTGTGCAAAATGCAGGGACAGCTTCCCTTTGAGCTTTGTTGGTTTACAGCTAGGTTTGCAAAACGCAGGGGTAGCTCCCCTGAGCTTTGGATGTTTATAGCTATGCTTGCAAAATGCAGGGGCAGCTCCCCTTGGAGCCTTGGAAGTTTACAGCTATGTTTGCAAAATGCAGGGGCAGCTCCCCTGGGAGCATTGGATGTGTACAGCTATGTTTGCAAAATGCAGGGGCATTTCCCCTTGGAGCTTTGTATATTTACAGCTAGGCTTGCAAAATGCAGGGGCAGCTCTCCCTTGGAGCGTGGTTTGTTTGCAGCTGAGATGGGGAGTGCAACCGAAGATCTCCTTTCGAGCTTGCTTGTTCGCATTTGCTTGTTAGCACCGTAGCTCGGGCACCCAGCAGGTCCTGACTGGCCCTTAGCGCATACTCCCGGCCACATTTATTGCCTGTTGCAGGATAGGGGCCTCACCCCATATTTTTTTTGGACGATCGGCGGGCGGGAAGCCGTCATCGACCTATTAAAGAGGCAAAATACAAGAATAACTGAGAAACTAATAATTGTATACAACGCGCCAACCCTTTGGCTCTGTTGTCGGCTCTGCGGGGGGCATCCAGGCATCCCCCTTGTGCGAACACCACCCGTGGAAGCGGAAAAGTTGTGACGGCGTATTCAGTAGTGCCCAGCACCAGCAGGACCTACCAATCAGGGGAAAGCCTAGCAGTCCTTCATGGCAATTCCCTTGGTAGACCCCCTCAAGCTGACACAGGATCTGGCCACCAGGAAGGGGCCTGGACGGCAGCTCTAGGTCACCGGAAGGTGGTCAGGGCTGACCCGCAAGAGATGCATGTGCGGTGGAGCCTTTGACTAAGCGGCCACCCCTTGGGGCCAGAGAAAGCGGTCTTGAGGGGCAGGTGGTCCTTAGTTGGAGGCTTGCACCGCAAACTATGAATGTGAGACCGTCCGTGCCCGGCGAAGGTGTCCATAGTACCAGGCGGGTAGCTAGTCACACTTGTATCCAACACGACAGCCCTTCGGCTGTTGTCTGCCCGGCTTGGGGCGCCCAGGTATCCCCCCGTGCGAACACTACCCGCGGAAGCTGACAAGTCGTCAGCGTATTCAGTAGTGCCCAGCACCAGCAGGAGCTACCAACCAGGGGAAAGCCTAGCAGTCCTTCATGGCAATGCCCTTGGTAGACGCCCTCAAGCTGACACAGGATCTGGCGGCCAGGAAGGTGCCCGGACGGCAGCTCCAGGCCGCCGGAAGGTGGTCAGGGTTGACCCGCAAGAGATACATGTGCGGTTGAGCCTGTGGCTGACGACCACCCCTTTAAGCCAGAGAAAGCGGTCCTTAGTGGCAGGTGGTCCTTGGCTGCAGGCTTGCACCGCACAACCATTATGAATGTGAGACCGTCCGTGCCCGGCGAAGTGGTCGGTAGTACCAGACTGGTCGCTGGTCACGGTGGTCTTTAGCTACTGGTTTCACTGTATACCGAATCAGGCATGCCATAACAGGTCTACAGCGAACAGCACAGAGATCGACGGGACCAAGAATAGGGGATAGCGTGCGGCGAGGCCACCCCCATTATTTTTGGGAGGCACGGCTTCATGTTAGAGCAGTAAATTGCAGTTAGGGACTCAGCTGAGTCAAGCTGGACTCAGCGTGTCAAGTTTGGCATAATACAATAAGCGCGCTATCCCCAAACAGTTGTGTGGTTATTGTGTGAGTGTATATGCAGGAGTCCGCGGTCACGTGAGGGGGGAGTGATAAATGGAAGTTTCCGGAGGAGGAAGGAGGAAACTGTAGTTATCACCAACCCTCACCGCGCCCAGCTCACGCCGCTACGGCGTGCGACCTGAGCTGGGCGCCCTGCCCAGTATGGAACTGTCCTCAAGCCAGTCACGTATTTGGCAGCCCAGTGAGCTGTCTACCGGATCGCAGCGTTTAGAAGCGCCAAATGCGGCAGGGCCAGTCTCAGGCTGGTCGCGTAGGCGGCAGGCCGGCGGCAGGCCGGCGGGCGACCGGCAAGGCTGCATTCGCATTTGGATCACCGAAGTGATACAGGTGCTTCGACGGCACTCCGTGGCGCATCAAGGAGGCATCTGGGGCCCAGGCAGCCCGCCCGTAAGCGCACCACCGTATCAGGTATGCGCAGGTGGAGCAGCAGAGCAAGATGTGTGCCGGACACTCACCATCATCCGGTCGACTGCATGGTTGTGCGACTTTACACAGCTGTCACTCATTACTTGCTATTGCTTGCAGAAGGCCAGAATTTTTTTTTTCTTTTTTCGCTCTTTCACTTCTTCCAGGCACGGCTTCATGTTAGAGCAGTAAATTGCAGTTAGGGACTCAGCTGAGTCAAGCTGGACTCAGCGTGTCAAGTTTGGCATAATACAATAAGCGCGCTATCCCCAAACAGTTGTGTGGTTATTGTGTGAGTGTATATGCAGGAGTCCGCGGTCACGTGAGGGGGGAGTGATAATTTATTTTCAGCTATTTCGGCCTGGTCATGTTTGGCCGAAAATTTGTTGCAGCCGGGATTTTGTTTTCCGAGGTTCAGTCACGGTGACAGTGTATACATGCGGCAG